AAAACAGCAGCTCATTTCTGAATAACTGCTCTGACCTCTAGCTGTACATATGCTGATTTCTGAAAGTGGTGATTGTTTTTTAAGGTGGTCCATTTTGTTTCTTGTGCTGTTACTGTTTTCTAGGGGAGATCAAGGATGATTAGAGTCGGGCCTGTCACTATAACTTAACAGCTGCAAAACTTGCTGAGCTATAATCCAAGTCCATTTTCCTTGGATATTGTATAGCTGCTTTAGTGTATTTTCACCTCTTGAAACATTGCACATTGAATTTCCTGTTAGAGACTGGAAAGCCACAAAACTATGGTTCTGATATCCTATCATTGTATCTAGTTAGAAACTTGTTAAAGTAGTACAGCCCCCTAATGTGGAGATGATTAGGTTGGTATAGTCTAAGCATATAGGAACTTAATTATAGTGGCAATTTATAAACCTGGCAGGATACTGTGCTGCTTTTTCCTTTTTACCCCTTCACGTTTTCCCAAGGAACATCTGCTACTGCTGCTATTCTTCAGGTACTATAACCAGTATGGTGTTCTGTTCTGCAGGTCCCTCTCTCAGTATTTTCCAAACTTCCGATACCTGGGGTGCGCTTTTTTTCTGGATTAAAATTGGTGACACACTGCTCTTACGTGTGAAAAGAGGAGTGGAGAGGGAAAAATGGCGGCAGTGGTGTGAATGTAGTTTGCAGGTGTCCAGTCCCGGTGCAGCTCCCCAGCAACTGGAAGGTTTATGTGTGATGCAGCCAGGGAGTGGTGGCTTGGTAGGAGTGGCAGCAGCGCAGGCATGGCCTCCTTGACAGAGTGTGTATCAGGCTAACTGAGGCAGTAGCCAAGTGAGAGGATTCCCTGCTTTCTGTGAGTGGCTGGACCTGGAAAAGGAAGGAAGGGGGTTATCTGCATCTACCTGCCCAGCAGAAGGGCATGGTGTGCATGAAGAGAAGCGTGCAGCAGAACACATCTCTGGGCACCCAGGTGTGCAATGCAGCCACATCCCTGTGGTACAGGCAGGGCATAGAGGCTGCAGTTTGCAGACATCTGTTCCTGGTGCCATCACTGTTTGCATTTCTTTCAGCCCCCTTACTCTCCAGCTGTGGCACATGTGCAGGTTCCAGCCTCTGGAGAGCTGTTCTGGAATCAGATGTATATAAACTGCAGTTGCTGCGCCCTGCCTGCACCCCAGGGCCATAGCCTTGTTACACTGCTGCATCTTGCTGTGTGCAGTGCCATAGCAAGCGGGGGCGAGTGGGGCAGCCGCCTCGGGCACCAAAGTGAAGGGGCGCCAACAGGTGCTGCCCAGCTGGGGTGGGGCACGGAACGG